AGAGAGAGAGAGAGAGAGAGAGAGAGAGAGAGATGGCAGCGACTTTGGCATGGAGAGAGATTGTGCGAGGGGAGAGTGTCATGTGTTGGGAGCGCCGACGGGACCGTGACATGTTCTTCCACCGCGACACAAGCGCATTCGGCCGGGAGATCGACCGAAAGTCGTACCGCTACTACTCCGTGGACGTCAACGGCAAGGCAGCGGTGGACCTTGATGTCGCAATCGGTTACCACAAGCGACAGTTGTCACACGTGTTGGTGTGGGTGAAGAAGGTGGGGAGCTTCATCCCGGATGATTGGGAGTCGTTGACTGTGGACATTGTTGGCGATATCGTCCTGAAGCTCGTCGACAACCTTGCAGAGGACCATGACTGGCGGTTGGACAACGGTGCCTTTTTTTACACGTACCTCGATCCGCCGCTTGTTGGTCGTGGGTACCTCCATGGAGAGATCCGGATGTAGGAGAAGTTCCTTGAGGATGGGACGGGTGACCGGATGATTGCTTTACGACTCGGCTATGGGCCTTTCCTGACGTTGGGTTCAGAAGGTGGCGATGTTGTGGTCGAACGGCTGGCGGCTTCTTCGCCAGACGGGGAGTGTCGAACGCGTGTGTTTCTCCACGTGGCGTGCGACGCAGATTGCCGTTCTCGTCGTGTATGGGATCTTGCGGCGTTCGGCGAGAGATGGTGTGTTTGGCGTCCACCAATTGTCCAACGCGTTCGTCTCGCCACGTGTCGTGCGGGGCAGTTGGCTGATGTGTTGAATATGGGGGAGGTGGCGGTGGTGCGGTTGATGGGCATGCAGACATTTCGGCGACCATCGATTGTCCACGTCTTTCTTTCGCCATGTGGCGCGCATCGCAGCTTGCCGCTGTGGTGAGTGTGTGCAAGTGGTGATGATGCCCTGCGTGGACGGCGGGCACGGTGGCCAGTGCGGTGAATTCCTGCCATCCTGGATCATTCACGGTCCATGGCAGCCGACTTTCAGGACGGTTTTGTGCTTCGCCGACCCATCCAGTGTTCTGTGTCGTTGATGGCAGCGGGTGGCCCGCCACGTAGATTTCACACGCCGTCTCCGGCTGGTATTAGGTGTAAGGACAGGCAAGTCGCGTGGGTAGTGTGTTGTGCGGCCATATAGTTCGATGGCTTCCGTGTCGTTAGTGCTTGAGGGTGGGAAGTGCAAGCAGGCATACGACGCGTAAAATAGATGGGGTTAATTGAAGTTTGCCTTCGCTGGGGGCGTTCTCTTCGTTGAAACTTGTTTCATTCGGTGATGGGTTGGGACGTTGAATTGGCTGATTTCATTTCAGTTTGATGCTGTCTTGCAAGGTGCCTACTCCTGTGTGTGTGTGTGTGTGTGTGTGTGTGTGTGTGTGTGTGTGTGTGTGTGTGTGTGTGTG